CCCCCGCAAAAAAAAAAAGTTTTAAGTTATTTTAATTTCTCCATAGTAAGTAAGCGGTTTCAGTACGTAACTGCTACTGTCTAAACCCTGCCAGCCCCCAGCACAATCCCCCCAAAACATGTTTGTGTGCATCAGATGTTGCAATATTATAGCTTGAGGTTTTCACCTTTTTCATCTTCTCTTCTAGTAACAGAAAAGTTGACATAGTCTTCTTCTGGTTTAACAGGCTCTGGATTAAAGATGATGAACAGCAGTTAACTCAATTACAAGAGACTGACCACTTTTTTTTTTATTATTATTATTGTTGTTAATAATCTTGAAACAAGGCAGCAAAATTTCGTATTGAATATAAATCTCCCATGCTTTCTGTAGCATTCCTGGGCCTTATCTGAGCTACTGTCACTGTCCTTCCTGGCTGTGTGGGTAGAACGCTGACTGGTATCTGGCATGAGCAGCTGCACCAAGCCCTGAGCTAACACAGCAGAGTAGCTACAATTCTACCTGTTTACTACATGAACAGGAAGGCAGATTTGTTTGGAGAGAACGATTCCCTTTCTGATATTTAGAAACAGGAAACGTAATAGCTTTGCTATTGGTTTGTTTGGGGGGGTTCTTTTTCCCTTGAAAATACTGACATTCACATGTAAGGCAAATGTAGAAAACTACAAGTTAATAGCATCATGGCTTTCAGGTAATGTCTTCATGACTGTATATTTTCTGCAATCCAAATAGTACAATGTCTTAACATAGGTCAGTTGCTTTGTTGTCTAGCATTACTTCATAATTTCAGTTTGAACTGACTTTGAGTCTTGTCAAGGTTAAGAAACACGGAATAAAGAACTATTGTGTACTGAACAATTTCGAACAGAATGCAGGATCTATGTAAGTTTTATTTTGTTGCTACAACTTGCATATAGCCCACTTTTGTCTCTTAGTAAATGGGCATTGCACCTCTGATCTACTTACTGCCTTTTCATTTTCTTTTTGTCTGTAATGGCTATTTCAATCCTCATAATGAGTTGCCAAATGCAATTCTTAGTTTTACTTCTGTTTGCAATAGATTTTTGTGTAAAACTTCATTTAGCTAGTTGCAGTTTTGGCTGCATGGCTGGCAGGTCGTGTCAAATACGGATCCTGAGGGACTTCAAATCATACCTCTGCCAGGCACAGATTTATACAAATAGGATAATAGCATCCTGCCATCAAACTCCCACAAGTAAGTTTCATAACTGCCTGGGGAGTAACATGAACTTACCGATCTCTGTGTATATGACATAGTTTTCAGACTCTTCTGCATTCATTGTTGAAGTAAGGGCAGTTGAGGACCTAGTAAACTTAAATTTTTCTGCAAGTTGTGAAAGAAAAACAAACACATGCCTATTTACATACATAATTTTTTCTTGAGGGAAACAAACAGCTCCATGATATTTTTTGAATACTTGGAGATCTCAGATAATGTTATTTTCAGGATAAAAATTACTCCTCAACCAAGTGCATTTTAAATAGACTTTCCTTTCTTTACTAAGAACAACGAGGTCCAATTCCTTCCAACATTTATGTGCATTAAATTAGATGTTGCTTTGCTTCTCCCATCCCAGACCTGCCTTCTGAAACATAGCTCAGAGGTTGTGTCTTGTCAGTGTCTTGTTGACTGTACTAGTTAAGAGGAGACTTGACAACATCCTAAAATAGCAAGAGCATAACTCTACTTGTAACATGATGTTTACACACTAAAATGTACTGACAACATAAATGAGCGCCTCTGGAAAATGAAACAGACATTCAAATAACTCACTTGCTTTATATGAAGGAATGATGAAAAATGGAATTGCCAGAGCAAATCCTATCAGCAATAGTAGCAAGACCAGCCCAAGAGAAATTAGCAGGGGTTGAGAATGCCTTCTCTCGTCTGCCAAAAAGGAAAAAAAAAAAAAGCAGCTGTTTATGCAAGGAAATGTTGTTTCATATTCTAAGTATTTTCTGTAAATTAAAATCAAGACTTTGCATTTCTTTCAGCTTTTGGATTAAGTGTGGTTAATGTAACTACTGAGGAGACTCCCAGCTGCACACTGCCACAACAGAAGGAAGGGAGCTTGCTGGTGCCAGTAGGTTCTCCCTTTCATAGGACCAGAGAGAAAAATGAAACGGGACTTCCCCAAGGTGGGCCAAAGGTCTCTTTTAAAAGTGAATCTTTTGCAGTCATCCTTCATGGTCACTGCAACTTCTACTACTATCTAGGCTGCATGGAAGTCTATCTTTTTGCACTGATTTTAAAGCCTCAAATTACGGGGTTTTTTGTTTGTTTAAAAAAATATTTTGAACATTACATTGCAGGAATAACATTTCTGGCTAAAAAAATTTGCATTGTTACAACATTCTGAATTTTCTCCGGTTCCTCTTTATCAACAGTGGTAAACTGTTTCACAAATGCATACCTGCTAATGTAAAGTTGAAACTGTTGCTGTATTTTGTATTATTGCGAAAGCTATTTTCAGCTTTGCATTTATAGGTTCCCAAGTCACTAGAGGAATTGATAAATAGATGAATCACAGCTGCTTCCCTCTTCTGCATCTTCACTGGGGGAGAGATGTTTTGTTTTCCTTTGAAGAATATGTATGTGATAGGAAGAGAGCCGGTTTCTGAGAGACACGACAGGGTCACTTTCTGGCCTTTCTTCACTTGAGAGGTGGGTGAGCTCAGCACTAGTTTGGAAATTGGCTCTGTAAAAAGAAAAATGAAAAGACTGCATCACTGAGTCCAGGACAAGCTCCAAAGCAAGTCTTGGAGTTAAGCAGCAACATTGGCTGATGAGATGAGCGTCCAGGATGGAGGGGTCAGTGAGCCAGATCAGAAGAGCACTGCCGGCTCCTAAGGAAATAATAACCGTTTGCAGTAAAGTTCAGCTCTGCGATCAAGGCAGGCACACACTGCAGTCCAAAACAGCACCTGCTGCAAACAAACCCGACTTCTGCTGCTGTGGATACATTGCATCAGACAAGGCTTTGTGCCCCTAAAATAAACCGTGCTGAGAAGGTACACAGCAAGACGTACCTATAAGGGTGAAGTTGAGACTATTGCTGTATTTTCCACCACCAGGGATGTTATTTTCAGCTTTGCATTTGTATTCACCCATGTCACTGGCAGAGCTGATGGTCAAGTTAAACAAACCGGGGATCAAGTCTGGCCTATTTAAAGTGGATACCTTCTGATTGTGTTTAAACAATGTGTATGTGACAGGTGGAGATCCAGAGTCTGGGTAGCAGGAGAGGGTCACGTTCTGGTTCATCACTACATTCAAGGTCCCCTGAACAGGAATGAGCCTGGGATTGGACAGTATCTCTGGAAAGAAGAAACTTCTGAGTGAGTTCACTGCACTTGTCATCCAAGAAACACTCAGATATTTCCTGAAGTATATCGAGGACCAGGCTATCCTTATTTCTGTTGAAATAGGGGTGTTTATTTTTTCCCTGCCTCCAGTAGCGGGCAACACAAATTTGTATTTTTCAAAATCAGTATGCAGCTTCAAACACTTGATGAAAAATGCATGTCTTCATGCAAAAGAGCATATACACATAAAGCCAGCAGCTATATCCAGATGAACTAACAAAAATGTTTTTAAACTACAGCAGCAATGAAGAGAAGTATAAAAGATAAATATAAATAGTACGGGATGTTAATTGTAGGCTTATATGCTAGTTGAGAGGTAGCATGTGAACCTGAAAGTAAAAGCAGTATTTTATTTGTAGCTGTATGTAAATAGGCAGAATTAACCTTGCATAAGTAGATCGAATTTTTGAATAGTAGCAGCAGGAGCCCTGACAGTCTATCAAATTAGTTTGCTTTTATGGGATTATAGAAATCAATTTGTAATAACAACTTGTAATGTCTTTTCATTGAAAATGGTAATACATTAGTCATGACTAAGATAAATTATGACACTTCTAGAGGGGAAAACTATTCTTTAACAACTTAAAGCAATTTTTACTGTATATACAAGTCAGCAAAGAGTCAGTTAACTTTGTATAGAAACTTGTAAACTGCCTCACTGCACAGACAGGGGCAAGAGATTTAATTTTACATGAAGGTTTTGGACATTTTTAAATCCCTCTCCCATTTTTTTGTTAACAGATTATTTCAGCACATATACAAAAACAAAAAAAAGAGAGAACCTACCTTTGCCATTTGCAGTAGCTTGCTGAATCTGCTGAGACGCTTGAACTAAAAGAAGAAAAGAAAGCTTTCAGACAAGAAACAATGGTTCTTGTTTAGAAAGATTTGTAATATATAAGTAGTATGTCCTTGGCTTACGGTAGGAAAACAGCAGAATTGTGAGAAAAAACATTTTCTTGATACGGAGCACGACAGCTTATGGAGTTACACTAATGAGATCTTTGAGGAGTGGCTCTAGGGGTTGAGGAAGTCCTAAATATGGAAACAGTGCTGATCCTTACTGATGTTGGTGTAAAGACTTTTGTAATACTCCACTGACATTTAGCCTATAGCAGACAGCAACGGGCAGAAGAAAAAGCTTTGGAGTGAGGAACAGCAGTTTGGGATACAACTAAATGTTACGTAGAGTTGTTCTAGCTGTAACTGACAAACTGAGCAGCTTTTCCATGTGAGAGCACGGTGTGGTAAAACCAAGACTGTATATAATTTTTCCTGCGCTGTTCTTATAAGGTAATGAGATCACTGATTCATATCAGTCACATTTACTAGAGATAATGCAGGCAATCGTATGGCTGAGACTGAGAGTATGTGGTACTGTGGGTTTTTTTCAGCAGCAATGTAATGAAATAAAATTGTAAAAAAAAAAAAATAAAATCTATAGAAGTTTTAAGATGCTAATAAATATTTATAGCCAGCCATCTTTTTAGGGAAATATTTTGGTCAAGCTTCAACTATTAAGCTGTGAGGAAGTGAGATCTTGTACTAGAAGGTACAGATCTCATCATGAAGTTGAGTTCAACATCACTGCAGGAACAAATCTGATGACTAATTTGATAATCTAATCAGTAATTCAAAGCTACAAAATTACAATTACAGCAAGTGGATGCTCTTTATTTGTCACTCTCTGGGCAAAGTAAGTGGAATCTTTAGCTATACACGGGCAATGCCTTCTGAAGAACTCTAGGCCCTGTTGTGAAGTAACTACTTAGAGAATGTCTTAAAAGTGTTGCCGTGATCCTTGTCTTATTTCTTATTTTTTTGTCTCGTTTCTGATGATAACAAGACGAGGCTCTGCAGAGTCTGCTCTCATCTCCTGTGTAATACAAAATCCCCTCCCAAAGCCTGGTCTGCTGCAGCCTTGCAAAATTTCCAAAAAATGCGACTTCCTTCCTCCTTGTTTTGGTTGTTTGGGGTTTTTTTTTTTGTTTAATTTTTTTAAAGCAACCTCACAAATGTTTCTTTCATGGAAATGCTGACAACTGACCACAAGACTAGAATATTTTTTTTCAGCTGACAGGAAGCATGTGTAAAAATGCAGCTGTCCAGAAAAGAACTAGGAGCACTTGTACGTTTTCCTGTTGTGGGAGCCTGTTGTTTGTCAGAAAACCACAAAAAAAGTCCTGAAGTCGCTCACAGCCAGGTGATGAAGGTGAGAGGTGTCTGAAAGCTCCGAAGGAGCACGGTGCCTCCCGCTCCTGTCGGGGGGCGGCAGGGCCGGCCTGGCTGTCCAGGGCTGTGG